TGCGGGTCCCACCGTCTTTCCATACATGGAAGTAAACCGTAATATGACGTGATGACGAGGCAGTGCAACCAGCATATTCATCTAAACAGCAACCGCCCCCTGTGTTCAGGCAGCTCCTCGGAGCGTATTCAGTGAAGATCTCTCTTGAACTGGGCGCTGGCCATGGGTGCAAGTCTGAGGGCGTGGCCACAAGCTGACCTGTAGTGCTCCTCTCTCCCAGGCCGCTGTTCTTCCGTGCCTCCAGATCCTCGCTACGCCGAGGCGAGGCGCGAATGGTGGAAGCTGTGGTCTACTGTTTGGAATTCAGGATTTTTGAACAAGATGGCCGATCCTCATGATTCCGCTGAAAGAACCTGCGTTTTAGTACGGTCAGTGTGTGAAGCCTCCGATGCTCGCACATTTCCTCAGTCCTCCTTGATCTGAGCAGCTTGCGGGCATGCTAGCCTTGGCTGCCGCAGTGGCTTCTTGCTCATGCCCCTTCCACCTGGAAGGCACGAAACGAGGCAACCAAGATGGCCAAGCGACTGGTGCTCCGAATGCCATGCAGATACGAAGCATGCTTCTGAGCAGAACTCAAGGCCACAGCGGCAAAACCTGAGAGGTTCTATCTGGACCATGCTGCTCGGATGCTTCTGGGGCAGTCTTTCGCTACGACTTTACGAGGTGCCAGAGGCGATGCTGGCTTGGCTAGGCCTAGGCCAGTCCACTTTGCACCAGCGATGCTTTGTCAGGCCCCTGTGTCTGGCCGCCAGCCATCGACGATGACAGCAACTGCAACAAGCCGACGATGCCCTTTTCGGCCCTTCAGCTGCCATTTGCATCCGAAGTGCAACGGCGGGCCTCGAGATGACCGCAGGGGTCCAAGGGTGTGTGCTCTCCAGGTATGCAGCTTAATTAAGGGGGATTGCAGTGATTGCAGTGATTGATTCGAGCGCTTGTGCGCTTCGACGACTTTATGCTGGGTACCCATGCACCATCGCGCTTCCAAGTGTGAACAGCAGCAAGTTCCGAGCAAGAACAAGACGGCCTCGAAAGGTTCGCTTGCACTGTGGGCGGCCGCAGCTCATCTTCCCACCAGTGCGAGAAAAGCTGTTGGGGCTACTGGTGTGCAAGCGACTGAGGCTACAGGCTGACGATGGCTGGTAGCTCAAGGCAGCTTGGACTGTGCCTCTGTCATCCGGTTTGCACAAAGCCTCCTAGTTCTAGTTTATGCTGGTAATGCCCCTTCCACCTGCTTTGTGACTTGACTCTCGCTCGTTGCGTTGCTGCCTACCTGCATGGGTACCGAAGAGGGACGTCGTCTGACCGAAAAACGACATGAGTGCGGTTGTTTTGAACAGACAAAAAGCTGCGACCACCAATGGACATTGCTCTGCCAGAGCACGCTGTGGGACATGGGCGGACCACGAGCTTCTAAAGCGCAGCATGCTGCCATGATAGGCCGAATTCGTACTTGGTCTCGCTCTTCATAAGCTGATTCTCTAGAGGTGCACATTGCGATTGTGGAATGACGGAGCAAATTTGCAGCCTGCTGAATGGAGCTACCAAGGAATTTCTGCAGACCACTGTGCACTTCCTGCCAAGAACAAAATGCAGCGGCTGTTATGTCGGCCACATCTCGAGCTGCGTCGAGGTATGCATCACACGCTGTACACTGCAGATCTCTCCGGCTGCTCGCTGTTTGAGCTCACGTGCCATCTTCTTCCTGAGCCTTCCTTTGCGAAGGTAGAACCGAAAGCGCTGAAAATGCAAAGGGCGGCCAGAACTGCAGCCAAACGCTGCGCCCCAACAGCCTGGCTCTGCGGTTCTTTTAGAAGCCGCGTCAATCCTTGTGCAGCTGGATCAATGAGCTCCTCCTCCATGGACCACATGTGAGAGCACATGCCCTCCTCAGGTGCAGCTCAGTCTGTGCAGCCTACTCCATGAAGTGCCGAGGTCATGAGAAGCTTTTTCTCAAAGGGGCAGAAGCTGACAGCCGTAAGTAAATCACAAACCAACTACGCAACTTTAACGCAACTAATGACCTATTGGGTGGAATCCCGGCAGACATGCGCATTCGCCCACCCACCAAGGGCTCTTGCTTCTAAGAGAGCATCCAGAAGCTGTCCGCTGCACCCTGCCGCAAGTATGCACAACTTTATTAGGCATGCCTCGGACCACAACGGACCAGATGTGTCTGACAAGAAAGAAGAACAAATGCCTCTAGCGAGGCTGTCGCAGCATTGACATAAGATATAGAAAACCATGGGACCCCTCTCCGAGATTGATTTGAACATGTCCACACTCATGAAAATAGCACCCCTGGGCAGAACCCTGTCCTCGTGAGTTGGAGCTGCCCTCCAAGGTGCTCCTTCCACATGCTGAATCATCTCTTCTTCGGAAGCTTCAGCCGGCTGGCCGCTCTCTTCTTCGAAGACCTCTGGCCGGATCGGGCTTGTAGTCCCTGACATGTGCGGATAAGGACACTCGTGGGGGTAGAGGTGGTGGAGCCACTGGGCGAAAAGGCGACCGTGGAGTGGCACCAGGCCGCTGTGGTGTGCGGCAATGTCTGACAGGCGCCGCTGCAAACTGGGAGCGACCGTGTGGTTCAAAGCAAGCAGGATAGCCTACAAAGGTCGCATGTTGTTGCATGCCTCCTAAGGCCTGGAAAAGAAAATTAAGAAAAGCAAAAATGAAAGGCAGCCCGGCCTCCGGAGTTGCCTGGTGAGACTGCAGGGCCTCCTCCAGCCGCGTCAAGTGCGCGTCACACTCGTTGATGCAACAAACCATGTAATAGCTAGAAGCAGCAATGCAGTTCGAGAGCCCCAGGATGTAGTTCGGAACTACAACCCGCAGAATTTGCGGGTCTGTTTCATCAAGGGCACCGATCTGGCGAAGGTATGAACTGCTTTCGCTGAATTGCCATTGTCCTCCCTTCAATGCCATGCTGTAAAAGTCGCTCAAGCGAACTCTGCCAGTGCGCGGATGCTCCTCATTCTGCAGGAGTTCTGCCTTCAATGCCCCGCACTCATGGCTTTGCCAACGACCATATTTCTCATCAACTGCAGCAACCACCCGCGAAAGGTCTGTGAACGAGAGCGACGAGGAATTCTGAAACATCTCCGCCTGGATATCCTGTAGAAACTCTTGCGTGGCGGGCCAGGTGGGGTACTGCTCTGGCACCTCTTGCACCAACTCCAACATACCTCAGACAGCACTACACATGCGAGCACACAGCTCAGCACTACATGGATTGCAGAGAGAAGTGCCTTCTTCTTGGAGAACAAAAAGCCGCCCCTTTTAGACGAGTCGCTTTCGCTTCCCAGGTCGCCTAGCTCCACGCCCATCACGAAGCTGGCCATGTAGGCTTCGAGAGCCGAGGTCGACTCGTTTCGGCTCAGAGGTCTCTGTTTCGACATCTGCAGCGCGCGGAAAGCCGCAGCTAGCCGCATGTCTGCCTCCTCGTGGACCATCTCCTCAATGATCGCTGCCAGTGTTGCCAGGTCAGTAATGCTTAGCCCGCCGTCGGAAAGGCGAGCATGCAGCCACTGTGTCACGTTGCTGGACATCTTCGCCCCGAAAGTAAGAAGCATCGCTGAGTCTGCGGTGTTGACAGGTATGGATCCGCTGAGGCTATGCCCATAGAGTTGCCATCCGTAGAGCCGAGCAAAAAGCCGATGCAGCGCATATTGTGCCTGACATGAGATGCAGAAAAGAAGTGCTGTCACTTGCAGGGCAGTTCAAGACGCTTGCTTCATGCTGCCTAGCTTCTGTCGTTGATCGGACCGTGCCCTCTGCTGTCTTGGGAAGTGCCGCAAAGATGCCCGACAAAGCGTGCTCCAGCTGTGTCTGGCGGCTTTCCCTAGTTGGATCTGCACTGAAGGCATGTGGCAAGACTGGCCCCGCTAAGCTCAGCATCCAGGGGCAAAGCATGAAAATGGTTTTGAAGGACATGCCAGAAGGCATCCCCCTCATGGCTGTGTCCAGCCAGCTACCTTAGACCAGGGCTGCACACAGCTGCTTCACAGACGTGCACACCCAGCCCGGCCTGAAGATATGGAAGTTTCTTGTAGGTGCCTTTCCAGGCGAGTGCTGACTGAGGGGTCCCGGGGGTGTCGGCCAACCGCAGTCAGCTTGAGCCGATCCGGCAGAGTTACGCCGCTTCTTTGAGGGGCGATGCAGGAAAGACGGCAGAAGCAGTCATGAAGATGTCGCACATCCTTCCCACGGTACTGCTCAAGAACTCTTTCAGTCAGCTTTCCAACTCTGAGATTCACAACCCTTGAGCAGATTAGGCTTTGCCATCCTTGGGACGAACGCCCCTGCAGCCACTTGCTTGAAAGACCCTTGAAACCCATGCACGTCTGTGCAGCCGGGTCGCGCCGACAAAAATTGAGGAGCCTTGATGGAAAGTCAGAACCAGCTGAGTCGCTGGTCAGACCAAGCGGTGGTTGCATGTCAAAGGCAGCCAAAGGGCGCCAAACGCAACACACTCATCGTTATCACCCTTACGATTTTACGGCTTTGCCGTGATGCGAGCAGCACGTTGCTGGCACGTCTGAATTCATTCAGAGGGCCAGGTAGCCTCAAACGCCCGAGATTTCTGAAGACGAGTTCGAGGAATCTGCTACGGTGCTACCAACTTTTCTCGGCCGTCATAAACGTCGTAATCCAATTGTTAGTGCCTGGAGGGTATGGTACAGATGTCTGGAATATGATATGTCCAGCTACTGCAAAGAAACAGCTCCCCATGCTTCCATGTGCCTCCAGCCGAACACCAGCAGTAAAAAACAAGTGCAAGCGCAGTTTCACTGCTACGAATTAAGGGGACGGGGGATGCCAATCTCAGTCCAGTGTGCCGAGCCAACTTGGTACCGCATGCAACTCAAGGCCGTATCCTCTCGCTCCCATCTCAAATAATCTCAAATCCCTCTCGCAGGTTGTAACGGCCACTTCATTGAAGTTGAACCTCTGACAACATACCCGCCTTTCATGTCAAAAAGCAACAGGGTCGCGGGCTCTCAAGCCTTCGACAAGCCGGCAAAGTTCGTGTCCTCCAAATCTTTCACCAGCCTGGACAGGTTTGCTTTGCTCTTTGCTCCCTATCTAAACAGATCAGCTCCCAGCACGACGAACTTTGGACAGATCAGCATGCCTTGTCATTAGACATGTTCAATTATATTCGAATCTTTCTGGCAACTTCGGCTCAGAGTCACATTGGACATGATACGATGTAGCCGGTTTCAATTTGAAGCATAGTTATATTACATGGTTTACTGCCCATAATTGTTGTGAGCCCAACTTCGGGGTGAGACATGCCACTTCTGATTCAACAAACCCCAGCAGCACATCCCTATGTGGAACACGTACTGCCGAACGGATGTGAAGGAGACTGCTCTTGCTACCAGCTGTTTCGCCCTGGCCCCCTGCGGCCCCGCCCCCTCCCCCCCTTTTCTCCACCTCAAAAAGTCCGGGAACTCCAACACATCGTCCTGCATCTCGCCTTGGTCGTCCTTGCGTAGCCTGATGGACAAGGTGCAGGTGTAGGATTTCGTTGGGATTCGAAAGGGGCATGCACCAGTGAGGAGTGCAAATACGTTTCCTTCATCCCTGGCATAGAACAAACGAGTGTAGAAACACGTGCATGCGAAAGGCAGCAGACTATCGCCTTTCGCACATGGACATGCAAGCGAGGCATATAGCACAGAGACACGAAGGGAGAGCGCAATGCAGTCCAGAATGAGTCTAGCTAAGAGCAGCCGGTACAGTAGATCGCGCAGGGACCTTCGAGCCAGGACTGCGCCAACGACAAACCCTGCTTGTCATGCCATCTTCTTCAGTCTGTCGGACATGTGCAGAAATTGAATCAAGCCAAAATCCCGGCCTCAGCTGATCTTTGAAGGCTGCATGCAGTGTCTCCGTCAAGCCATTTCCCAAGGGTGTAGTGCCTTGCCGCTGCGCGAACTGCCGAACCCGGGGCGGCGCATTTTGCACACGCACATCTCTGAGAAGCAAAAAGCGACGCTGGCCCACTTATGCAGGAACTTGCAGTTGCAAGAAAACGACACCTGTCTGCTTCAGGGGCACTATGAAACAAAGTCCAGACTTCCTCGAACGTGACAGTGTTGCTGTTGGTGCTGGCCTCAGGCACAACACAACGAGAAGTAAGCACACAGCATTCAGTCCAAGAGCTCCGCAACAAGGCACATTGTCAACCACCAGCCTAAACTCTGCATTCAATGATGCCGAAGCCGGGCCGCAGCAAGGAAGAAGTCTCGGTAGGCTTGGACATCCGACTGAGAGAAGCCCGTGTCCTGCCACAAGGGTCCAGGTCATGCCTCTCAATGAGCAATTCTCGAGATCAGGGATCCCGCTTCCCCCCCGGAGCTAGTAGTTCTGCAAGTCATCGACTGGCACTTCCGACCTGGATCACACTCTGGCTCTCTCCCTGTTCTTCTTCTTCTCCTAGGCTTAAGGTGCGCGCCAGGGCCCCCGGTCGTCCAGCCGGCCCGTTGTTTACACGCTCTTGGGGGGGAGTGGGAGCTTCGGTAGGGTACTTGACCAAAGCAACATCCTGACATACCTTTAAAAAAGCTGCTGTCCCTCTCTATATACATATTTATTTCGTCACACATACAGACATACATACATACATACAGACAGACAGACAGACATACACACATATATACACATACAATATACACACACACACACATCTGATGTGTATCTTTCACCAGGGTCGAGGAAGGAGGGGCAACCCCCCTTCCTGCGCTCCCGCTCCAGGCACCGCCCCCATATGTTATGGGGTTGTGTCTACGGGCTAGCGGCTGACAAGGAAGAGAGGACTCTTCCATTACGTGTATCTTCTTCCTTCTTCCTTCGGGCATAGAGGGCTGTTAAGGCCCNNTGGAAGGGCGTGAAAACTCGGAGTGGAAAGTCACCAAAGTTCATAACAACCTTGATGCCTGCATCACTCACCGTAACTCAAAAATTTAGAAACGGTTGCGCTGGGCTGAAAAAACTTGGACAACATGACGGCGGAGTGAAAAGTCGAATTGGTCAGCTCCCCCGTTTCAGGAAATGGCTTAGTTACTTGGTTGAAGAACAATACATAATAGAAGTGAGTCAGCCCATTCCCCGGTTTTGGAAACACTTTGGAGTATGCATTGCCCCCCCGAAATAGCGGGGTGGACGGTTGTCTAATTTGGTAGTTCGTGTTAATGGCTCCAGCGGCCCGTCTTGAAAAATTGAAAGGAAACTTAGATTGTGGCGCCCCCGATGTTCATAATACGACTACTACGCCGGCCATTCCTTTAGCAGAAGACATGTTTTTCTCAAGATGTGATGATTCAAAGACCCTGTTCGCTAGCAATCTATATTGGCACCATTGGGGCAGTAGGTTGCTTCGACCTTGTCCACCAAGTCACAACGTGTGGATCTAAGGGCGATGCTGATGCCCCGAGAAGCTTGCAAAATGGACTCCTGCATGACATACTCACGTTCCGAGAGTCTCTGCAACGAACGCACCAGTGAGGCATTGAAGCAGAGATCTGTCCGGTGCCCCCCCACGGAGTTGTAGCGCCTGAAGACAATCTTCTCGGGGAAAGGACGAAGTCCAACGAAGGCCGCCAGTTCATTGAAGATGTTGCTCGGTGTGTCACGCAGTTCTGTTTGGTGCAAAACAAACAGACGACTCGGAAACAGCTCCGCCAAGGCTGCCAGATGCCGTGCCATCTCGATCCGCTGATCCCAAAATAACTTCAGCTGGCCATGTCTTTCCGTCAGCAGTGCCGAAGTGCTTGGGAAACAGACTTCACTGCCGTCGCGGTGAGGCCCGGCCACAAGACGCTTCTGAGCCGCAAGGAGATCATCATGGCAGTATTTGTCTATCATGAAAATCTTCTCCATGCGACCGACCGGCTCACAAACGGTGAGAACCAGTTTCAATTGTGGCATCAAAGCCAGCCTTTGCCGGACCAGCGCAGATTGGAAGAGATGGGCATTTGCAATACCAACTATGCGAGGTCGGTGTCCAGTCTGATTGAATTTTGCAGTCATTCTTTCCTGCACCCGCGCATTGTATTCCTCAACTTGTGCTTTCAGCGGCAGCAAGCGGTTGGCTAGCTCGTAGCTCAAGATGGTTTCCTCCTCATCACCCTTGATCATCACATCAGGATGAAGTTCCATGTTCTTTCGCAGGGAGGTCGTGCCACAGCGGTCGGCCCCGACAATAGCGAAGTCTATGTCAAAGTCGTGCCAACCAGCAACTTCGTGGGCCACCACGACGTCCCGGAAACTTGCATTGCCAAGCATTTGTTGTGGCCTCTGTCCCATCAACATATCAACAGCCAGTGGGAAAATTTCTTGTACGACCTGGCTTTCGGCACAGCGTGCCGGAGCACAAATGCTAAGCCGAAGATGGCCCGGCAACTGGTCTCGTGCAGCTAGCGGAATGCCGAACACAGCTGCCAATCGCCCCGCAAAAGCGGACCTGGCACTGCCCTGTGCCAGCTCGTAGACTTTCCGGACATCGAGGACGCAATCCCAGTAGCGACCACCCTCGATAGAGCAAACAGTCATCGCCTCCTGGGCCCCCACAAACAGAAAGGCGGGCCAAGCCTCCGACTCCGGATCGATACCACGCATTTGGAAGATTTGCTTCCAGAACCAGTCTGGCCGGTGCGCTATTTGAGTGTAGACCAAGGGACTCAAAGGTACGGATCTGAAGCCTTTTCTCCGCAAATAGTACTCAGACAAACATGTGACATCTTCGCCGTTCGCTGCAAGGAAGGATGCAGCACACACGCACACGCAAAGCTGCCGGCCATGCATATGGGAGCCTAAACCCCCTGGCCCGTGTATCTCTCTCTCGCTCTCTCTTTCTCTGCCTTGCGCTGACAAAGCTTGCAACGGAAAGCGGCTTCTCGTGCTGCAAGGAAAGAAGCCCGGACGGGCTGCAACCACCCCACCACCACCACCACCACCAGCACCAGCAGCAGCAGAAGCAGCAGCAGCAGCAGCAGAAGCAGCAGCAGCAGCAGCAGCACCAGCACCAGCACCACGACCACGACAATATCGACGACGACCATGACCACCGCCACACCCTCACCCACCCCACAGCAACACTCACGGGGATTATTCCGCTGTGCCAGCTCCACGTAGTGGCATAGCCGGCATGATAAGATTGCGCATGCAGCGACGTAGAGCGGCAGAGCAATACGACCCCGTGCGCAAGAACATGTAACAGCAACTGTAATTTACACCTGTGTGGCGGGTACTGTATTGAAATACCATGAAGCTAAGGCTACAGACGACCGGTACTAGTTTTACTCACATGCTAGCAGCAGCAACAATTAACATCATCATCATCATCATCGTCGTCGTCGTCATCATCACCATCACCGGCTCAGAACAAGTAGGGTTGGTCACAAGCCATGACACCGTCCACATGAACATACGAATCATCTAGCATGACTGAGCGCTAAAATGTCAAATGATTACTAAACCAGACCGAGTACGTCCAAGTCCCCATTGCAGGCTTGAAAGATCTTGGAAGCCATGTGCCATACATCCATTGCGTATGTACTGTGACATTAGTATCTACCTGAAAGCTGTGGTCTCGTGCTTGCGGTCCTGTATTGCAGCCTGCTGCCTTCGCGCTACCATCTTCTCCTGCCGTGCACAACTTTGCCGCTGTTGATGGCTGTTGTTCAGCATGAACCCTGCAGCTGCTCTGCCGGTGTTGGTTCCTCTTGAATGCATGCCATTTCTACTGACACAGCAAGCAACTGTATTCAGACGGTGCGGGAGTAACAGCACCCATGTGGAGTCTGGCAAGCCACCTGTGCCGACCGGCAAAGCTGCACCAGTGACAAGAAATCATGGAAGCCTGGCCCCGCTGGCTGTGCTTTGGCTTCGGATGCTGCATGAAGGGAAGTCTTCTCTCGCTAACACACTGGAGTGAAATGGGAAATGCCACGTCATTTGTGCGAGTCTTGGAATCAATCGTGATCGTGCTGCTGTCGGGAGACTAGACCAGAAACTGTCTACAACCAAGCCATGCAAGCTGGCTGAAACTGAGGTCGAGGCCTAACCGTCCAGTGCCTTCGACTTGCACGTTCTGCAGGATTGCCTTCAATTCCGGCCTCTCAGTGAGGAGGCAACTGATCTGTACAATCAAGGACAGCATTGGAACAAGCATGGCATCTGCCTGTCTTTCCATCGCGGAGTGTTTGTGTTGTCACGATGCGTGCAGTTCACGCCAACATGGTTGGATGGTCACTTTGACTTGTGCCCACGTGCGTACGTGTTTGGCAAATAACAATAACAAGAGCAAGAATAATGAGTACAGGAACAATACTACGATTAATTCTAATACTTAATTTAATAACCATCATCAAAATAGTAGTAATAACAATAATAGTAATAATTAAAATAACAACATCAATAATGATAAGAATCATAATTGTAATAAATATGAATAATACATAATCATAATAATTAATACTAATAATAATAATTAATAACAAATAACAATAAAAATAATAGTAATAATAATAAATAATACTAACAATAAAAAATAATAATAGTAAACAATAAATCCAAAAGGTGAAGAGTGGCAAGTGGGGGACGCAGTGTGGGCAGTGCGGGAAACGGTCGCAAGGTGCCGAGACTGTGAGGCGAAAGCTGGGCTGGCTGGGCTTGGGGCTGTGGGCCCTGGCTGGGCTTGGGGCTGTGCCTGGTTAGGGAGGAAGGAACGGATTGGACCATTGGACTACAAGGAATGGTGCCGTCATCCAAGAATTGCCTGAGGGCCACGGGTCACCTTTTCTCCATCTATTTGATCCTCCTGGTTTCGACATCCATTTACGCTCTCGCAACTCGGACACAGCCAGACGAGGTCTCGGTTCGCAGATCGGACTATCGTGGAAACTTTCAGATGCACACATCCTTGGACTGCGGAAAACCAGCAAGCACAAGAATTGCACATAGATGCAGATTAGGCTGGTAACTCACAGGATGCATCCGACGTGGCTAGGGCATCTTTAACCTTGATTGGACCGGGGCATCTTGACTGGGAAATTCTTTTTACGTTTTATCATCTTACTCCCACCTCTTCAAAACTTGGCATGACCTTTTGTTTCCCATGAACGAACTGTAAACAAGTGCCGATACCCAATGCCCGCTGTAATACAGCTCCGCAGTCAAAACGACCACAGCCCAACAAGAGCAAGAAATAAAGGTGCTTGTCAACTGAGGCGCCGGAAGAAGGGATCTCGTGAGAGGTTCGGGAGGATCTCAGACAGAAGACGGATTAGCTCCTTCTGAAGGCACTGACCCGAACTTGCAGCCTCGCCGCTACCACGTGCATGGCAGAAGCATTTCACTGGACATGGCAGTCCTTGTTCGCTACAAAGCCGATGTTGTGCGGATCGTAGGTTTCGAAGACTTTCCTCAATGTCCAAGAGCAGGTGCTGCAAACGGCAATCCTCCAAATAACAAAAATCACGAGAAAATAGCTGGGCTGTGTAGCAGAGCTGCTTGAGCAGCCTCATCTGCTCAAAATTCCAGCCACCGTTTTGTCTGCACTCTTTCCGTCGCTCCTGAAAGAGCTTGGAACACACGGTCAAGAAGCAGTCTTCCTCAGCTGTGGAAGCATTTGAATGGGTGGCTTTTAGAACAGCGCCAGGATTTTAGCCTGAGACCTGGGGCAAGTGGCTGACACCTCATCATCCTCGTCCACACCAAAAATCTGGACATCGGCCGTGAAGCCGAAGCCAGCAAGCAGCCGCGCCTCGCAGTTTTGACTATCCACTTCTTGTTGACATTCCAACGAAACGAGATGATATGCAATCATGTTGCAGCCCTCTGCCGCGAACATGGCCTCAGGTGACAGCCCAAACCAGTTGCGGGTAGCTACTCTCTTTGTCACTGGAAGTAGTGCAATAACACATCGTCGCCGTCGTTGGCAACAGCAGCAGTGGTGGTAGTAGTAGCAGCAGCAGCAGGAGTAGGAGTAGTAGTAGTAGTAGTCGTCGTCGTCGTGGTCGTCGTGGTCGCCGTGGTCGTCGTGGTCGTAGTCGTAGTCGTCGT